CCCTGAATGTGAGGCAGCAGACTTCCTCCTAAATAAGCTGACCCTCTGGATAGATAAATGTCAGCGCCTAGTTGTAGGAGATTTTAACGCACCATCAGTTGACTGAGATAGACCAACAACAAAATCACCACGAAATTCGTTTGATCACAGTTAGTGGAAACATCAATTTCCTTAGCCATTAGGACGCCAGCCACATATGATCATCAGCATGCTCCATCTGTTCTAGACTTAGTATTCTCACATACAGATGATGTATGCTTCATCCGACACCTAGCACGCTGTGACCATCTTCAGATTCACAGCAGACGTCTTATACCAGGCCGATGCCTCAATTAAACCCAACATATGGAAAGCGATTATGGAAGTTATTAACCTAGCAACCTCTTCGGAGCACTGGACAGTCAATCCAGAAGCCTCAGTTGAAGGTGTGTGGTGCTTCTTCAGACAGTTATATGCACGAGTGACCCAACCGTTCATTCCGTTGACTGTTCTGAGGGGGCGGAAACACTGTACTCAGTGGGTTAACCATGAAATCTGAATCTTGCCACGACGTAAGAGAGTGTTGGAGTCTTACCACCCGCCTCAGTACACCCGAAGTGGTGAAACATTACAAAGGAGCTCGCAATACGTGTATCACCGGTCCTGTCCAGGCTGCATTGCAACATCCGAAGAGGCTATTTTCCCATATGAATTATAGAAATAAGATGTATCGTGGTATACCCACCCTAATCAATACGACAGAAAATGACTGTTCGATTGAGGACGACAGGCTAATAGCAGAAGCCGTGGCTGGATATTTTGTTGAGGCCTTCACACAGGAATCTTCTGTGGACACTTATCCAACAGTAGAAGCATTGATATCCAACAGAATAAACTGTGTCGATGTCCATCTTAATGATGTATTTCGGATATTAAGTACTCTCGATGTGGAAAATTCAACGGGACAGGATGAGCTGAACCCAAGGTTGCTCAGAGAGCTCGCACTCTATGTAGCCGGCCCATTGACTACTATATTCAGTCTCTCAGTGAAGGCACACTCCCCTATGACTAGAAGGATGCCACAGTGGCACCTATGTACAAGGCAGGTTCTAGGCAGCAAAAAATCAAATTACGGACTGGTAGGTTTGAGTAGTACTGTGGTAAAAATCAAAGAAAGTAATCAAGAAAACCACCACAGTCCACCTGGAGAGCAACACTATTGTCTCTTTCAAAGTATGAATTTTCGTAGGCATTTCCGTTGCTTGACATGCCTTCTTATAGCCAGAGAAAGTTGGGTTAAGTCTAAAGATGATAGGATACCTGTAGACGTCATTTTCATTGACTTTAGTAAGGTGTTTAACAAAGTACCTTATTCCAGGTTGCTTGGGAAACTGGGAAGTTTAGGAATCACTGACACTCTGTACGCATAGGTAAGAGCCTTTGTTTGTAGGAGACGAAGAGTAAGGACCGATTCCCAACTCTCCACTTGGAAGTCGGTAGAGAGTGAAGTTCCGCAAGACGCAGTACTGGGCCCCCTTACTGTTCCTCCTACAAGTAAATGACCTAAAAAATATCACGACATCCCCTGTGGTTCTCTGCGACGATGACGTAAACATCTGGCGGGGAATGAGGAACGATGAGGATTTACGTGCACTTCAGGCAGACTTGAACAGCTTGTTTACCTGGTCAGAGAAGTGGCTGATGCCTATCAATGCAGTTAAATAAGTGAGCATGCACCAAGGACACACACAGCGACACCTACCATATTAGAGGGACTCATTTACCGTAAGTAGTGACCCATAATGGTTTAGGAGCCACGGTGATTTACGACTTAAAAACCACGCCTCACTGTCGATTGGTAGTAGGCCGGAGTTTTAAGACTCTTTGGGCATTACGTGGAACGTTTACGAAAATAAGTGGTGACATGTTCACCATCTTATACACATTCTTATTCAGGTCTAAATTAGGAAACTGTACACAGTCGGCTAATCCTTGTCTGAAAGGTGACGCAGACCTTCTAGAAAGAGTTCAGACGCTCGTTTGGTCCCTGCGATGAGGAGCTGAACCTATTCACTTCATCTTGTCATTAACAAAAGGAGACATGATCATGCTATACGAGGTTCTAAGAAATTACTTCGGACCTGATCTATCTTCTCTTTCCATTCCCACTAGGTCGGAACACCTCAGAGGATATAGTAGGAGACTACAAAAGCATAGAATGAACATAGTCTCCACAGAGTACTGGTTCTCGCGTCGAGTAACCAACACCTGGAACAGACTCCCAGAATAAATAGTGTCCGCATCATCAATTAACTCGTTTAAAAGGGGATTAGACAAGTACAGAAATTTAATTTAAAAGGACTAATATATCCTTCCAGACTCCTATCCTCAAACAACAAATCTCAACACAGGCATATAATCTGCGTAATAGCGAGTACATCATCCCAATAAATAAGTACCGCTCAAAACTTCGATGTAGGTTTTTCATAACGCAATACAGTACGCTGTGGAACAAACTTCTCGCTCCTATACGAGCATGTCGTTCTCTCGGCCAGTTTCAACGATTACTTAATGAATTCCTCCTATCTAACGAACCTCATCAATTCGTTGACGGCCAAACCATAAACGGAAATACCATGTACAATGGTGCTACTGGTACCTAGACTCAAGGGAGACTAACAGCAATAACAAAAGTATACAATGCCGAAAACAAAATGCAGTAGTTAAGTTAAAATCTAATTTCTTTTAAAAAAATGACCAAGAGTGAACAGGAAGCGGAGTGCGATACCATTTGCAACAGTGAACTTAGTAGCTACTGTAATGTAACCTACATTTCTTCATAACCTAACTGATCTCACGACTTAACACCTATTTCCTAAAATTCGTCCCTTACAATAATCTCTCTACTACGGATTGATAAAAGAACCGTCTATCGGTGCATTTTCATAGCATGCAACACTTTATTATTTGCCGTTTGTTATCAGTACTTACATGTAAGTACTCTGCACCAACACATTGTTTCGGTAGCCCCGATATGGTGATATTCAACAGGCAACACCATGATCATCCTCCCCAACGCCGTGACCAGAGAAAGGGTGGCTACCGTCTTAGAAAAAACCATGAATTTCACTTAAATGTTTATAACTTCATCAAACTTTTGTACATAGGTTTTTAACGCAAGTGAATACCTGCTCCAAAATTTTTTAATCTCTCTAGTTCGTAGTGATATATTCGGCTTCAGACTAATTTTCATTACTGTCGTGCGCACCTTCATCTTCTTCCACCTAAGCTTACCTCTAAACAGTTGGCTCTGCATACTTCTTCAAGTAAGTTTTGTAGTCAGTACGAAGAACTCACCTGGATGTTTCATGGTTGATCTACTCCTGCGTATTTTTGTGCTCCTGTTTCGAATTTCATCTGCTGCTCGCTTTTGTTATTCACTTTTCAAGTCTACCTAACCAGTCCTGCATTCAAATGGAATCCTGGAGATCGCATTTGCCAGTGTGGACCTTGCCATCAAAACATTATGACGAACGCGCACACCCCAAGGTCATGACTGTAATGCCTGCCCCACCTTCAAGAATATTGGAAGATTCAAACAATAACCGAGTAATTCCTAATTTCGAACTGAGCCTGCCTCAACACACCTTTTATATGCCATGAATAACGGCATCTAATGTATAGCTTAACATTGTACACAATAGTCATTTCTCATTACCAAAATGATCAAACCTGTAAACTGGTTTCTATCCATGTAACCTTTGTTGTATGAAATACATATATTATTATCATAAATCCTTCAGTTTGTTTTAATCTTGTAAATGATTTCTGAACATATTACGTACTCTCACACATTTTCAAGATATTTTTGAACTTTCATTTGTCAGGCTAAGAACGAAACGAAGGGAAAACGTTCAGCTGGTTGGTATTGGATTTGTAAATGGTTATCACATTACTATTCCTTGGATCCCTGTATGGGATTGTGAATTTCTGTGGTGGATGACTGAACTGCCACCATCAAAATTACACCAATTTTGTGTTAATTTCTGAGCGGAGAACAGAAACTAATGTAAAACTATCCGCCCATTCACACTTTTGTCTTCAATACTGTTAGTGTTAACGCCATATAGACGAAATAATCATTGTACGGAAAGCGAGTTTGCAAGTTTTAATATCATTCGAATAAAAGAATGAAGGTTTGTTGGGCCACATAAGTGGAGTCTAAAAGTCACTGGAGTTCTTTCATACGGTTTTGAGCTATAAATTCTACTTGATACAACATCCAGTAAACAGTACTAAATTACTGAGTGGTATATGAAATAAACAATCTAGTAATCGAATCATCCTTTACCACAATGCCTAGGTTTTTTTTGTATTAAATCAGTCAAAAAGTCATTGCTATCATTGAAAGCTATGTCATTAATTCTCTAACCTAACAGAAGTTGCAAACAAGAAAAGACCATTATCATCGTTCAACAAGTCAAATGACTAAGGTTTTCTGGAATGATATCAAAACATTCACCTGCAAGGAACTTTCAAAAAGCACTAATTTTCGAAAAAAAAAGACCTAAATTCTAACAAAAATGAAATTAATTTATATGACACCAGTTCTTTAAGAAGTATACTTTCTCAATAGAAAAAATAGATGTTAAAATGAAATACATAGTGAAAAATCACAAAAGAAAATGGAGAATAATAATTAGATTGCTAATATATGCATTCTTTTTGTAGTCTACACAAAAATTCATTGAGCAATCTTAGTTCAGATGAACAAATTCAATAGCCAATCACAGAAATATTAGTAAATTATAAAATTATTATGTAGGTTATATATGACATCATTATACAGAGATTACAACCATACACATGTATAAATTATTCAAATCATAAAAATATAATATTGAACTATTCTCTCCTCTTCTATCCACCTGTTTTTCGATTATATAAGAAGTAAATAATGTTTATCCTCCTTCGTGTGATATCAGTTAGTATTATATAGTGATAGGAATACGTTCATCATTTTACTGGGATGATTGACGTGGAACATTGAAGTACGGATAATTTGAATATCCTTTCTGTAAAGAGAAAATCGATTGAAACAGTAAAATATTATCCTCAGTGTAAACAAAATAATTGATATCATGTCAAATACTTCTAATTAAATTTGGAGTCATGGTGCAGTGACTTGGCGATTTAGGGAGATGAATTCGAATCCCGTTCCAGGTAGCATCACTACCCGCACACAACCAGTGGGGCTTATTGCCTATTATACGGATATGCACAAGGCGGGTGAGTGCGTTACGTTTTCATTCCCTTAATTTAACTTAGAGGTTCGCAGGGATTTACTGATTTCAGTGTACTGTTCGTCATGGACTGACATCATTCGGAGAATCATTGAAAACCTGGGTTCGATCGCTGGAGGGCTGGGTCATGGTGCGTACTGCTGAGGAGTCCCTTAATTGAAAGAAAAAGCTGTCCAATGTTCCCTAGTTTTTAATGCTTCACTAGCAGGTGGTGAATACTTCTAATTTAATTTTCCATAACATTCAAAGTGGAAAGTATATACCAAGGACACCTGTTATGAAAAGTTTCACAATAGGAAACTTCACAGCATAGTATTCTGTTTCACAATAGAATTTTAAAGTAATAGTTATTAGAAAGGAATGATAAGAGATGATTACACAAGTTCAACTACGGATACCTTCAAAGCATTAGTTAAACATGCTGAATTTACTGAGTTGGATATATATTAAGAGAAATAAATAGGCTGATGTTGTTATAGGCCTTTGTAAGTTGATATTTAAGTAACACATTTTCAAGCACTAGTTAAACTTCATTTCAACTAAAGCTACTGACTACAGTAGAGAGAAAAGCGATCCTTTTAGTTATATTGAACTCCTTTTTCCTAATATGGTGTGACAATCAGTCAGACAAAATTGATACTTTCAAAATGCAGTACCTATAGATGAATCAAATGGAATTTGTTCACCTGAATGAAGATATGAGATACCTTATCTCAGTGTTCTATGATGATAAAACCTGAAAATAAATTAAAGTTTAAGAAATTGTTTTAAAGTTAATTGTCATAGCAACTGAAATTTACCTTCACTTTATTATCATTTAAAAAGGTAGATGATTGTAGTGATTTTGGAGGATCAACTGAGATTAGATTTTTAGATTTTGAAGAAATGCGGCTAGCAATAAGATTATTATTAATATTATTGTTATTACTGGTGATGACAGTATTTCCGTTAGTTGTTGAACTATTTGTACTTCCGCTAGAGTACCGTTTTGGTAATTCATATACTGTAGTTTGTGATTGACATCTGGAGGATTTGATCCAGTCTTCAGTATCAACAACTGAATAATTAGGTAATGTAACAGAAACGTGTTGTGACTGAAGGTTTGGTGATGATTTATTGTCCAATGCACATGATTTTTGTCTGAAATAGAGTCAAATGAAAGGAGGTTTAGGTGAGTTTAAACAAATAAAACCGTCTCATTTCACTGCACAACGTCAGAAGATAGTCAGTACATATTTCGAACAAAGAACTCAGTTTATCACACTTAACATATACAGTTGGGAGAAAAGAAAAACCAAATGAAGATAGAATTCCAGTACATAAAAACAGTGACATTAAAAATAGTAACAATAACTAGTTATGCATCGAAAATCAGACTTTTCAGAGGCAATTATCTTCAGAACCAGATATTCGCCAGAGAATTATCATTATTTATCATTATTATTATTATTCGTCCTAGTGGAACATGGGACTTGAGTAGCATGCCTCCATTGCACTCTCTTCTCTGCAATCTTTTGAACCTGGCTCCATGACTGCACAGAAGCTCTCATTTCTTTCTCTCATGATCTCCCCGATATCACCCACAGATGGGACGCCCAACTTGTCGTTTCCCATCTGGGTTCCACTAGAGTGCCTGGCCTGGTGCCTGATATCCCCGTATGGTCTTCTCCGAGAGAATCATTATTAGGCAGTAATGTTACCCAATTTTCAAATTATCGGTAGGATTTACCATTAAATTCAATTGGAGAAATATTGAAAATTGAACTTCAACGCCGTATTTAAAAAATAGCAAATTCACTTTTATGCCAAAATTTCTGGTGTCAATACATTATAAAATATATTTCTATATAAATAAGGTTTTTGAAAAGCTCAAATCAAAGGTAACCTAATTTTTCATATTGAAAATAGCTGCAGATAGTTTTAGATTTACTGTATATTTTTTATTGTTCGTTTCTTAGATTTCAGTTATGACTGACTCAGTGCTAAATAATTTACTTAGCTCTAACTTTATTTATCCTTTTACCGAATAGTTAGAATGATATTTATCACGGGATTTGGGTTAAACAAAGAAGAAGATTCCAGTGCACAGAATTGGAATCAGTTACTAACTTTTGATTGGTTTTTTGACGCATGTAAGTCTAACGATGTGATAGCAACGGTCTGAGAAGAGATGTAAACAAATTTTCATTTTGAAATACACTTTTATATATTTGTGTCAATTGATTCACTACTGTTAGGCTAGAATAAACCATTAAGATAGACATTTACATGAGATTTGGTCGAAAAGTACATACTATTGCAGACACCAGTGAACAGAATACACTTATGACTTATTTTTCAATACTATAAACTTTTACTAACAGTATTGCTAATTTTCAATCAACAGATTAATGAACAGAAATAAATGAGGACATAAACTTCCTAAATTTTATCTCAGAAATATTATTGGTAATATGATGAAAAATACCTATTGAGTCATAAAAAATATAAAAGACAATTCAGCAAAGAGGTTATACAATAGTATTGTTGAGTATTGAAAACTTTACAATCTATAGAACACAGATATGATGTTAAAAAAGGGAACTGTTAGAGACAGACTTTAAGTAGAAGAAAGTAACTGATTGAATGTTTAGTGGAGTTTACTTGTTTCGTAAGTTGTACTAGTTCTGTTGGGTTCGCTGCTGACAAAATTTAAACATGTATACAAAATACTTGATAACCATTTTAGAACTTGTGTTATTTAGACTGTCATTATGTTTATTTAAAGCTGAATACAGTGCTAAATAGTATACTTTGTTCGATAGTACGGCTGTGACAAACATATATGTTACAAGGTTCAGTAATGGCAGCTTTAGTACGATTATCTCCTAATATCAGTAATAGGAGTTGAACACCTATAAAAGGAATTCTATCTGTACCTGTGCGAATAACACGATGGTAATCGAATTTGTTCACTTCCAGAGATTCCTGAAAATATATTTAATTAAACAAAGTGTGTAGACTTTTGTCCTGAGTACTGTGTTTTTTAAATTCTGTATCTCGCTATTAGTTATTGGATTGTGAAATAAAATCCTAAACACTTCAACCAACATCTTTTAATTCCCAGTGCCAAAAAATCATTCATGAACTAAAAAATCTAAGAGTACAATATCGACAGACTACATGATGAATAATAGCAACCGTCTATTGTCTAGAGTATTTCCAACAAACTACAGACATTCATCAACAACTGCCGCCTACGCTGACTCGATACTGAAGATCAGATGGATGACCAGAAAGAATAAGCAACGAGAAACTTTGGGAACGAACCGACTAAGAACCTATCAACCAACAAATATGCAGGCGAAAGTGAAGATGGATTGGGTTGGGCATACACTGAGAAGACCGATTAGAAACATCACGCGCTAGGCCAGGCCATCGAGTGGAATCCAAATGGAAAAAGATGAGTTCGGTTCGGGTTCGAAGCCAGGGTGACATGGAGAAGGTCATGTGAGGAAGAAATGAAAGCTTGTGGGCAGTCATGGAGCGAGATTCAAAAGACCGCAGAGAACAGAGTGCAATCAAGGCGTGCTACTGAGGCCCCATGTTGCACTAGGAACCCAACGCACAAATAATAAAAATAATAAACTTTGCAAAATATAAAAGTATACCGTAAAGTTAGAAAGGATTGTCTATTTGTTCGCAATCTTGTGTTTACTACCCTGTCCCATTATAAGAAGAAAGAGAAAGAGGAGATATGTTTATACAAGCTGATTGTCATCTAGGATGTTGGAAGGATCAAAAGTCTGATAAAATATGTATGAAATATTATATCAACTAAACCTTCTCTTCTCAAACAACTATTCTAACATGTGAAGACTGTTACTAATGTCAAGCAGCTAAGTGGTATAGCTTGTATTATCATTTCTATATTAAGGTAATCACCCATGCATCAACCTTTAAAAACTAGTAAAGCCTAATTCTTTCAGTTCAACAGAGAGTTTAAGCCTCAATTTTATTCGAAATGATACTATCAAAAGTTTAAAGCCAGTCAGTTCAAAGCAAAGTTTATAACCTGACTGTATAGCAAAAAATGCTACTCAGTTATTGTCCAGACATTTTAAAATATCTTAGTACTTTTATGGTGAAAAGGCGCTTATTAGTAACAATTTAGAATAATAATACTTAAGTAGTATTTGTTGTTTTTTTTATTATTGTTACTTGTGCTATAGAATTCATTGAAAAAGTACAGAAACATGAACAACGACCAACAGTTTGAATACCACTGATACATTTTCATATCATAAAAGTATATTCGATTTGGACAAACAAGTTGAATTATTCCACTGAGGTTTTCCAAAATTAATTTGTGCTTTGATTTAACATCTGGATCCTTGTTATTGAAGAAGTTTGTCATCAGATTAACTCATCTGATAAACTTATTACATTTGTAGTTTTCGCAAAGAAACCAGTATACTATATTAAAGGTGTTTATTTTATTGTCTATTAAAACTTATGTTCCATACAGTGCAGTCCAGTCTCTTGCTGTCTCCTTTTTCTTCCTTTTATGATTTGATTTAATCTTCTAAAAGTCATTTCTTTTGAACATTATACTGATTTTTCAGTATTTATAACAGTTAACTATTCATCATGTTACTTGGAGATAAATGATTTACCATATAAGACTGAACGTTGATGTACCATAGTTCTACATCGAACGTTTCCTAATTTCAACCTATTTGAACTGTTTCAAAACTCCAGAAAATGTGATTTTCCGTTTATAAAAAATATATCAGACGTTACTCGTTTTAAGAATTTATGTTCTCTACTTTCTTTGTATGATCCACTTAGTTCTCGATAACTATTTCAGTTAATACATGAAACTTCAAGTAATTTCATTGTAAACTAATCTCCTAGCTGACCTTCCTTTTAGATTTTGCATTTATTTATCCCACTGTAAATCCTTGAGGGAAAAGTGTACTGTACATTAAATATTCCGTATGGATACATTTGTAGACGGGTATATGAAGTATCAAAATAAACGGTGGACAGTGTTATTTTACTAGATACTAAGCATTACATATTCTCAAACTCTACTTTTCCTCTTCACATAAGTATAATACAAGGTGAGTTGACATTGAATTTTACTCATCGAAAGCATATGTTTAATTCCTCGTCATACTCTAGCTGTCAGGTATCTTACACGAAGAAATAAAGAATTTATTGGCAGTCTTACTGGCAATTATTCGAATCACCATGTGAGTAATGCTGAGGTCAGGGGAAGGGTACTAGGCAAAACAACCAGGTCGATTGATAAGGTTGTGAAGCATCATTGACTGAGATGGCTTTGACATGTACTACCCCTATCGAGCCACCGCCTATCTCGACATGCTATACTTGGGGAAGTTGAATTAGGTTTGAAGAGGGTTCAGGGTGGTTATACATGTCAACAACCTGGCTGGGGTCTACGAGACGAAAGGGATCAGTGGTTGAGGACACTTCGTGACGTGGCTGAAAATCGGTCACAATAGCGCAAATGTATTCACACTTCTAAAGCTTATCGATGAAGTTTTGTAATACGATCACTAACCTAAGTGATGTAACACTGTGATGCACTGTCTTATAGTGTTTGCTGCTGGGAGTCACCTGGTAGGAGGCTCTGATTAATCTGCGTTTCGTGCTTGTTGTCACTAATCAGTAAAGTGTATCTGTAATCATGCGGAAACCAGTACACTCTCCATCGTCAAAATTGGGGTCACTCAATGGTGAAGTTAGAAACCTAACTACTAGGCTATTCTAGCTACTATTAGTTTAACGCAAGACTAAATTACACACATAAATTGGTTATCGACGGTTAGTAGATGTAGCTGTTTATTCCATAGTGGTTATCACTGATCGGAGTTTGCCAAGTTTTCCAGTGTTGAAATGTCGGTGATAGGATATATCCAAAGTCTTATATAGTCATCACAAAACAGCACTGAGAAATATAAAGAATAATGAGACAGTCATAATGTAGTGGGCGTTGCTGATCAGAATGGATGTAGGTAGTATATGTTGATACGGCAGCAGAAATCATTGGGAATTACGAGCAATGGGTAAAGATTCTACCCAGATAAACGCAAGAAACAATGTGGGTGTATTAAGAGCACATCAAGATAGAAGCAGAAGAGGAAATGAAGCGCTTTATGTAGATGACTGTCTTAGTGGAAAGTGTACAATATTTGATGACTACTGTACAAGATGTCAATAATAAACATTCTTTCCTTCGTTTCCATCTAGTATAGTCGTTATTGGATAAGTATGAATATGTACATGAAGGAAGCTACATGAACTCCTAATCAAGAAATTGATTAATAATTCAGTCTATAATGAGCTCCAACCACAAGGATCTTGACTGCCATATTTATTTCGTTTTCCTAAATTACATAAATCTAATGTCATCATTAGTTTTATATTATCTAGGGTAAACTCATCCTTCCAAAAACTCGCTTGCTGGTTAGTAGAGTAGTTGAAATCAATTTGTGAAAAGTTGGTAATCTATGGTTTGAAAAATAGATTTAAACTTGTTGAAAAATTGGGAAGGGTAAAATATTTCTGATAGGTTTATGGTGTCCTTCGATGTATGTTAGCCAATAAGATGAATATCTTTAAATGAAACTATACGTCAATATTTTGTTTGTGCTTTGAAGTTTCTTTAAATGACAGAGGTGATGAAGATACCCAACCAACAACAACAAGCTCCATTCACCATCAACGGGAGAGACTTAAAGGAAGTAGCCTCTCTCACCCATCTAGGCAGCACTGTTTCTACTACATGCGGCACAGACAACGGCGTCAAAGCCAGGATCGGAAAAGCAAGACAGGCATTCACTAACCTGAAACCAGCGAGGAGATTTTCCGAACTCACCATGTAGAACAACATCCAGATTTTCAACACCAACATCAGTCAAGTCAGTGCTTCTGTGTGATGATTCAGAAACTTACCGTGTCACCGAAAGTATTTCCAACAGAATACAGACATTCATCAACAACTGCCACCTACACTGGCTCGATACTGAAGATCAGATGGATGACCAGAAAGAATAAGCAACAAGGAACTCTGGTTGACTGGTAACGAACCAACGAAGCAAGAACCTATTGCTAGTAAAATATGCCTGAGGAAGTGGAGATGGATTGGGTTGGGCATACACTGAGAAGGCCGACTGGGGATATCACGTGTCAGGCCAGGCCAGACCAGGCCAGGCGATCGAGTTGAACCCAGATGGGAAGCAACGAGTTGGGCGTCGGGGGTGAGGGTGATGAGGAGGAGATGATGTGAGGAAGAAATGAGAGCTTGTGGGCAGTTGTAGAGCCAGGTTCGAAAGTTTGTAGAGAAGAGAGTGGAATGGAGACGGGCTACTGAAGCCTTATGTTCCACTAGGAACCCAAGGGACAAATAATAATAATATAATACGTCAATATTCTGATCTTCCACCTCTAGCAAAAACAGAATTCAACCATACTAGCTGGTATCTTCACGGGAACCTTGAACGTCCAAGTATGCAGTAAGTAATTGATGAGACAACCTTCTACAACAGGTATGTTGATAATACATGCATTGATTTGCAATAACCTGAAACACGCTCATACTTGTTCAACCTACTTAACAAAGCTTACCAAAACATAGAATTTACAATGGAATATGAACAAAATGGTAAGTTTCACTTCCTTTATCTAAGATAGTAATATACTAAGGTGTATCCATCATACAGCTTCTTGGAGTTAAATGTATATTAACTTCAACAACTTTTGTTTCATTAGTCACAAAAAAGGGCTAGTAAAAACACTCTCCAACAGCATAAGACATCTTTTTTCGAAATATATAGTGAAAATTGCCTCTATGATAACGGATATCCTCAATAATTCATCAATAAGCACAAGAATGTACCGAGTAACACTAGATGTGATACAGTTGAGAAAAAGTTTATTTTCCTAAATCTCAATTTCAAAGGTAATGTTTCCGGGAGAATTAATTATCGAGTATATGCTGCCTTAAAAAGGACTTCTCCAGCTGCTAGATTAATCGTACTCTACCGAACGAACTGCTCACTGAGACAATAAACAGTTGAAAAGTCCTCTCTTCATTTTACCTCCAACTGCATCAACCAATTCACATGCTCATGTCGAAGCAACTATATTGGACGAACAGGAAGAAGGATTTATGATTGCATATGTGAGCATAGTTCAAGAAATTCGTGACTGACAGGTGGAAAAGTCTTCAACAACACCATTGCTCTACACCTTATTGATTGTAGACATAAGGCCGATATTCAGAAATCATTCAAAAATAACTAATAAACAGATAAATTCGAATTTATTGCGTTTCGTTTAAGTATTAACCATTTGACGATGTTGGCTGAGGCGGGTCCAGGCTGGAAAGGGCCCGAGGTGGCCAGACTAAAACATGGCACCAATGTATGAAGTCTCTGACTGTTGGTTTAAGCCATGTAGGACGATGCAGACTAGGTGGTTGGGGTCCACGGGACAAGAGGAACCAGTGGTTGGAGACCCTAGGTGATATGGCTCAGAACCAATGTCAGTGGCGCAGATGTATACACACATTATCCTCATCTTAACAACGCTATACCGAATCTCACTATTTTGTCACTCCTCTTTCCTTTCTTCTCGTACTTTATATTTCTTTTGACTGCATTCACTTATCTTCATCCTTCACCTCACTACCTTTTTACTTGATGTGCTGATATGAGGTGTGGCAACTCGGACCGTTACGCAGTAATGCCTGGTCCTATGTTGATAATGATGATGATGATGATTTGACGATTAAAACCAAACTTATGTGTTCAGAAAGAAACACTTGTTAATCTGTGCTTACCATGGTAAAGTCTTTGTTTTATTGATAATCATCATGTTTTCTACATATCATCGCCGATTCATACAAGTTGAATTTATTTTCGTTACTCAAAGCTTTACACCATTTACCTAATTAATTGAATTCCACTCACAGTTAACATAGATGTTACGACCTACTTCCATATATCTTTGTTTGGTTGTGGTTAGCAGGGAATCCAGGATGTGCGATTCTTCTTTTTAAGAGCTGTTAGTGGGATATACCTGCACCCTAGTGCCGAGTGATGTTGTTCCCACAGAGACTTGAACCTTGTACTAATCGCTCCAAACGCAGAGGCGCTATCCACTATGCCACAGAGGCACGGCCTACGCTTTTTGTACAACGGGTCGAACAATTCGGTCCAGTTACAGGTATATATCAATAGACAGTGATAAATCCTACCCGTTGTACAAGAAGTGGCTATCGCGCCACTGTGGCATAGTGGATAACGCCTTGGCGCTTGAAGCGATGTATACGTGGTTGAGTCTCAGTGGGAATAACATCACTCACTAGGGTGCAAGGAAATCCTGTTGACGAGTCCTAAATAAGACGGAACGCGCGTTCTGGATTCTCATGCTGACCACATTCAACCGAATTACCATAATTACAATTCAGGTAATATCGGTATATCTGTATAGCAGCCCATATGCCAATAGATGTCGAACAATTAGATCCAATAAAACAACAGAGAATTACAAGTATATCAATAAATAGTAATATACTTTCATACAGTTTGTGTAACCTTTCTCAATATGTTCAGAATATTTATTTTCTCCTTCTTGTCCAATTTCCATTCTACAGTATTCGTTTAGTCCTTCTAAATATTGATAGACTTACTATTCGTTCTTTATATTTATTCGTCCTTCAAGCACGTTATATCGATATTAATTTTCATTCAAGTCGAAAGTTTTCTAACAAACTCATTCAAGTATGCTAACATCCATGTACATTAATATCTTAAAATTATTTTAGATTGTAGGCATCTGATGAGAAACACTGAAATAAAATGGATCTATGTTATTCTGTTCCAACTGTTGTTCTCGTTCTATTTAGATTTATCAAGGAAAAGAATTATATGAAATAAAATGTTTGCCTGACAACAAATAATATAAAAGGACTTGATCATAACTTATGTCATACTTAACAATCGTCTGACGTTGAATGAATACTGTCATTCAATATTTTGAAATGAAGTTATTAGGCAAAAGAATTCACTTGTATACTGAATTGATTTCAATGTAGTATCATTCTAGTTGTATAAGATGCCTAAAATTGGACACAATTAACAGTAATTCCAATATACAATGCAGAAAAATGAAGCTACTCAAAAAAAAAAAAAATAATTGGAAAATGAAACACAGTGATGAGTACACTTACCGTGTAAGCATCAAACAGTCTCGTTTATAATTCGGTGTATATTTCAATCCATTTGAAGTATAATTTTGTAAGAAATTATCCCTTCAGCACGGCTGGTTAAACATCGTGTATACGGGGCAAGCCAAGCTAAAATCTATAAATTACATACAGAAATTAAATAGCATACAAGAAACTATTTATTGGACCAGGATCTACGATGCAAACTATATCTATCAGGTGTCCAAAATATGATAATTCTGAGACACCATAACCAAAAAATCATAACTGCATATTAGAGGAGATCAAAAACATAGAACTGCCCAATATTATAGCAGTAAAATTTCGTAGTGTAGAAAATTTTACTTCCATTCTAATCTTTTTGTTAGAAATATCACTCAGTGAAACCGTATCATTTACTGGATTACATTTCGGACAAAAGATATTGTTCATATTCATATCAGGTAACTACACAACTTTGAGAGAGACTTTATATAGTTATAATCTCTCCATCTTGGTGACGACAAGGTTAGTGGAATTTTACATGTATCCGAAATAGCTGCAAAATCATTCCTATTGGTCCGTGTGTTTGGTGTTGACTCGACAAACAAAGATCACGTTATCAATTTGTCCATCCCTTCACCCAACTGAGTTCGTTATATTCCAATACCGTCACTTCATCCCACACCATTGTATGATTGTAAGTAACTACGTAATTGCAGAGCTATAGCGGAGCTTTGCTCTAAATTTCTTATCTTATTAGAACCTACCTACCTTGATTTAGGTAAGCTTTAGTGCTCTTTCATTTTAAATGACCGTGGGCACCTATTTTAGCGTATATATTTAACCTCACAATGATTGTAGGGGATTCGGTAAACCACATTATTTTGCCTAATTCCATCAATACAATCTTTGCAGTAATGAGATCGGAACTTATTAATAAGTTCTTGATACCTTTTCAATTCAATAGTGAATACATTCCGATTTACCTGCAACATACAAAGTGATGAAGGTGACCTACCAATATTCGATTGTAAGATAAAACAAAAATAAAACACTGCTTCAGAGACTAGTGTCTACAGGAAATAAACCCAGTCGAATACCTAATCACATTACAAATCACATCACTCCATCACAATTTAAGTTGGCTCACTCAAATCCTCAGGTGATATGGCAAAAATGCTTACTACCACAACAGAAAATCTACAACGAGAAATTAGACACATCAAGAATACTTTGCGTCTCATTAATCACTCAACTAACTTCATCAACAAATTCATAAATAATCGAAAGAAAAATATCAGTAGTAGTAGTAGTAGTAACAATACACGTGTTATTAATAATAATTCTACTAATAATAATAATAGTAGTAGTAGTAGTGAAAGGGTTGAGAGAGAATTGAAAGCTTCTGCTGACCTACCGTACAACAAAGGCATCTCAGAAGCATTACTACGAATTCTCAATAAGGCTGGCTGGGATTAAAGTGACTACCATTTAAACCAACAAACTCACTGAGAAACAAGCTCTCTACCTCAAAGTATCCTATCCATCCAATTCAGCAAAATAATATGACTTACCAAACCCCTTCCAATCATTGTCACGTTAAACACATACACCAAGTCAAAATAGTCGACCACCATCAATTAGGATAAAAGAGTACAGAAACCTAGCTCAATCAGCTTAATCAGTTGATCCTTGTAAAAATTTAGCGAAAACCTCAGCTATAGAGTTAAAAACTAAATTACTTTGATGGAGGGAGGGAGAGATTGATAAACTAATCTTTGTTTATTGAATCAACACCAAATACATGGAGTAATAGGAATGATTCTGCAACTGTTCCGGATACATGGAAGTTCTACTACCCTTATCATCACGAAGAAGGAGATAGGGTTACAAGTGTATAAATTTTGTCTCAGAGTTGTGGTATTACCTGATATGACTATGGACAATGTGTTGTGTCCGATACATTATCCAATAAATGATACTGTTCGTTCACTTTGTGACAAATCTAATAAACAGAGTATAACGAATATGACTCCTCACTGCTACTGACAACAAGTTTCCTGTCATATGTAGTCTCTTTTATCTAAGTTGGACAAAGGGGTAGTGAAATAAGGCGGCTTTCAGGTACACCTTCAATAATAACAAATTTCAGCTTATTTATTGGTGGATTATACGGTAGGGTATTTGTTCCAAAGGATGTCCAAATCCATGAAGAACTCTTATATCCACCTCCAACTGTGGCTTCATTCAACTTACACACTACAAAACAACACATAAATCTTAGAGAGAAACGAAGAGAATAGTGATCAGTGAAACACGAAAGTAGACAGATAAATCAACAAAAAAAACTGCATAGATTTTAAACATTTTAAGCTGAAGAAGAACACATAAATATACAAAGAGGAAAGAAATAGGAGAAGAACAATATTTAATCAAGGAAGATCAATAAACACTTAGAGGCTAGCCAGACTTTCAGTGATTTAAAGATTGAGTAAATCAATATCATCGTGATGATTAAAGCATACACCTCACTCTCCTCAACAAGAACTGAACAATCAATTAGAGAAACGATGAGTTGGTATAATATCTTGTTTCGACCATTCTTAACTTTCGTCCAACCTGATCTTATTCAAACTAAAATTGTGCTTTGTGTTTTTTGGCAATTTTGGCATGTATTGAATCAACCCAACTGAAATGATGGATAATTTTTCTTCTATGCCTCAGCAACTAACTTCAATAATTCTCACAATATGGTCTCATTATATTTTCATAAAGATACAAAGACACCTAATCTGAAGACTCTATAGTAATTCAAGGAAGACTTATTCAACGTTAGTTGTGATCTAGACTCTCTCTCTCTAACTCTCTAACTACATGGCTACAAACACTTAATTTGATTAGTTAACTGAAAAATGACACCTGATAGGAGTCAACATTAAATATGAGACAATATCAAACATTAAATTGGACACTTGCTACTAACATATACTACTATTAGCTGAAAACTGTTCACTATAATGAGTTAGGTAATGATTATGAAATGATCAGTGCAAGTTCATAAAGTGTTACCAAATACTTCAATGATAGTAGTTAGTCTACAAATATCTGTGATCCTATAAAGAAAAATCGATGTCTTGTTTATCTGAAATCATGAAGTTTATAAATCTAACTTCCCTGTTACACAAAGGATGTGTTGAACAGTAAATTTCTGCAGCGTGATGATTTGTCCCTTGGGTTCCTAATAGAACATAAGGCTTCAGTAGCCCGTCTCCATTCCACTCTCTTCTCTACAAAATTTTGAACCTGGCTCTACAACTGCCCACAAGCTCTCATTTCTTCCTCACATCATCTCCTCCTCGTCACCCTCACCCCAACGCCCAACTCGTCACTTCCCATCTGGGTTCAACTCGATCGCCTGGCCTGGTCTGGCATGTGATATCTCCAGTCAGCCTTCTCAGTGTATGCCCAACCCAATCCATCTCCACTTCCTCAGGCATATTTTACTAGCAATAGGTTCTTGCTTCGTTGGTTCGTTACCAGTCAACCAGAGTTCCTTGTTGCTTATTCTTTCTGGTCATTCATCTGATCTTCAGTATCGAGCCAGTGTAGGTTGCAGTTGTTGATGAATGTCTGTATTCTTTTGGAAATACTTTCGGTGACACGTCAAGTTTCTGAATCATCACACAGAAGCACTGACTTGACTGATGTTGGTGTTGAAAATCTGGATGTTGTTCCACATGGTGAGTTCGGAAGATCTCCACACTGGTTTCAGGTTAGTGAATGCCAGTCTTGCTTTTCCGATCCTGGCTTTGACGTCCTCGTCTGTGTCGCCTGTAGTAGAAACAGTGCTGCCTAGATAGGTAGATATAATCCATTAGTTGAGAGATATTATAGTTTTCTTTTTGATGAGACAGTTTATTCATGCTATTCAATGATAACAATATCGATTATCATTTTGACTATCTAAGATAGCCGTAGTTTGGCAGACTGGTATTTATACTGAACCGGTCATGGTTCAGATTTTTCATCTCACTTCCAATCATCAATTTCAGTGATATCGTTATCTATACTGAATGAAGTCATCCAATTTGGGTGACGAATGTATGGAAAGAACTAAATTCTTTAGTAATTTACTAAGAAATGCAGCTACAGATACACTATTGCACTTTGTTAAATCTGTCCTCTAATCATCCCAGGAAATCTCTATATACTTGGACTTTTATAGTATCTCTCTATACCTTACAACGCACAACTCAAGGATAAAGTGACAGATACTGTTGTAGGACATAACATGATGATCCATTAGTTAGTATCTTTATTCCTCATGACAGTACACAAATAGAAAACTATAAAAGACATAAATCTGTGAAGATTATTTGATTTCATGATAGTTTTCATCATGGAGTGACATCAATTGGAGAATCATTGAAAACCATGGAACACTGGATAGGTATTTCGTCTTAGTATAAAACTCTTTAGAAGCAACCCCGTAAAGATTTGATTCTAGAACTATAACGCCTCATAGTAAGCATGTTACCGTCTAGCTACTGAGTTCAAAGTAAGTAGTTCACATTTCTTTACTTTTGGTAATTCATGATATAGTAAGAACATCATTTAATGCCAATGGCGAGTATTTTTCTTCTTCTCTTCCTCTTCCAAGTGCTTCTTAGTCAATTATCGCGAAATAAATTTCCCATAGTTTTAATGAGAAGCTGTAACCTGTCAACATATGACTGGAAGTTTCTACAAGAAAATAAAAAGAATCATTCAATCTAAGAGCGAAAATTAAGAAATCCATTCTTAGACATTACGTTTATAGGAAATGCCTCACTGAAAACTCTTCTAATCAGTTTCAGGATTATTATTCAAAATTTGATTGATAATACCTACTCTATTATTACTAGATCATTTATAGTAGAGACAAGAAGGATACTAAAAATTTTGAAATAATCTAACAGACCTCATCATAAGCATTTGATAAAATTGTTATACAATTAGGACCATGTCTCCATTTAGAAACATTTGGACAACGAAATTCATTTTTTGTATTTTGAATTGTTGACGGTATGATAGCATTATTCGACCATAAAGTGAACACTGTACGCGGAGATATTCGAGTATCAGGTGGGAAAGTATACTCATTAATTTTCTCTTGACCATATTTTTGCCATATTTTATATAAGCCAATATCTAATTCCTAGATACAAAATTGAAGTTTAGAATACTGTATCAGTAATAATCATATAGATACTATTAAAATATACAGATTTAAATACACATATATTTCATGATGCATACGCATCCATAGATGAAATTGATCCTAGTTACTAGCCAGTATTTATTTTTTTCCCACCAGAAACACTAAGAACAGACGCAGAGACAACAGCAGACATGCTCACACCACACCACTATTGCAGAAGGTGTGGAAGGAAGAGAAGGTACCTGGTGATTGGAAGAAGGGTTACCTTATCAAACTCCCGAAAAAGGGAGACCTCAGTGTTTGCAAGAACTGCAGCGAAATCACTCTCCTGTCCACCCAATGCAAGCTAAATATTAAGCCGATTCATCCTGGAGAGGTTAAAGGATGCGCTGGATTCAAAACTACGACCGGAACTGGCTGGTTGGATTCAGGAAGTACAAATCATGTGCAGACCAAATTGCAACGCTTCGCATCATCATAGAACAGAGTATAGAATGGCAGTCAACTCAACTCAACCTCAACTTCATCGACTTTGAGAAGGCCTTCGATAGCGTCGACCGAGAAGTAATTTGGAAACTGCTTCACTACTACGGAATACCACAAACCATTATCCGCCTCATTCAACAACTATATGAAGATGCCACAGGCCAAGTAATTCACAATGGGAAGCTCAGTGATGCTTTTGCAGTGAAGTGAAGACAGGAGTGAAACAAGGTTGCCTACTATCCCCCATGATATTCCTAATTGTGGTCGACTGGATCATGCAGCAAACAGTGGGAAGCGAGAAGAGGGGGATACACTGGACTGCGGAAAAGAACCTAGAAGATCTGGATTTCGCTGATGAATTGTGTCTGATGTCATACAAACTTGAAGATCTACAGGCGAAAACTAACAAGTTGTCAGAAGAGGCAGTGAAGACGGGATTTCAGGTGAATATAGAGAAGACAGAGGTGATGAAGATACCGCACCAACACCTCCAACAACAAAACAACAAACTCCAATCACCATCAACGGGAGAAACATAAAGGAAGTTGTCTTTCTCACCTCATTTGGCAGAACTGTTCCAACGACATGCGGCACAGACAAGGACCTCAGAGTCACGATCGGAAAAGCAAGACAGGCATTCACTAACCTGAAACCAGTGTGGAGATCTTCCGAACTCACCATGTGGAACAACATCCAGATTTTCAACACCAACATCAGTCAAGTCAGTGCTTCTGTGTGATGATTCAGAAACTTGACGTGTCACCGAAAGTATTTCCAACAGAATACAAACATTCATCAACAACTGCCGCCTACACTGGCTCGATACTGAAGATCAGATGGATGACCAGAAAGAATAAGCAACAAGGAACTCTGGTTGACTGGTAACGAACCAACGAAGCAAGAACCTATTGCTGGTAAAATATGCCTGAGGAAGTGGAGATGGATTGGGTTGGGCATACACTGAGGAGGCTGACTGGGGACATCACTTGTCAGGCCCTCGAGTGGAATCCCGATGGGAAGTGACGAGTTGGGCGTCGGGGTTGAGGGTGACATTGGGGAGATCGTGCGAGGAGGAAATGAGAGCTTGTGGGCTGTCGTGGAACCAGGTTGAAAAGATTTCAGAGAACAGAGTTCACTGGAGACGTGCTACTGAAGCTATTTGTCCCATAAGGAACCCAAGGGACTAATAATAATAATAATAATAATAATAATAATAATAATAATTTATCATTTTTATTTTTCCCTAGGATTCCTAGTGGAACATAGGGCTTCAGTAGCACGTCTCCATTCCACTCTCTTCTCTACAAACTTTCGAACCTGGCTCTACAACTGCCCACAAGCTCTCATTTCTTCCTCACATCATCTCCTCCTCGTCACCCTCACCCCCAACGCCCAACTCGTCACTTCCCATCTGGATTCAACTCGATCCCCTGGCCCGGCCTGGCCTGACACGTGATGTCCCCAATCGGCCTTCTCAGTGTATGCCCAACCCAATCCATCTCCACTTCCTCAGGCATATTTTACCAGCAATAGGTTCTTGCTTCGTTGGTTCGTTACCAGTCAACCAGAGTTCCTTGTTGCTTATTCTTTCTGGTCATCCATCTGATCTTCAGTATCGAGCCAGTGTAGGCGGCAGTTGTTGATGAATGTTTGTATTCTGTTGGAAATACTTTTGGTGACACGTCAAGTTTCTGAATCATCACACAGAAGCACTGACTTGACTGATGTTGGTGTTGAAAATCCGGATATTGTTCTTTGTGCTGAGTGCATTAGATCTCCACCCTGATTTCAAATTAATGAAGGCCTGTCTTGCTTTTCCATTCTTGGTTTTGGCATCCTCATCTGTGCCTGTAGCGCCTGCAGTTTAAACGGTGCTGCCCACCGAGGTAGGTGAAAGAGACTACTTTATTAGGTTTCTCCAGTCCATGGTGATTGGTGCTTGTTGTTATTGCTGTTGTTGTTTGGGTATCTTCATCACCTCCATCTTCTATACATTCACTTGAAGTCCCGTCTTCGCTGCATCTTCTGTCAACTTGTTAGCTTTAGCCTGTACATCTTCGAGTTTGTGCGGCAATGCATTAGACATAAATCATCAGTGGCGAAATCTAAATCTTCTAGGATCTTTTCATCGGTCAAATAGAGTATGCACATCTTCTCGCTCCTCACGGTTTGCTGCATGATCCAGTCCACCACAATCAGGAAGATCATCGGTGATAGTAGGCAACCTTGTCTTACTCCTTTTTTTCTTCACTTCAAAGGCATCACTGAGCTTCCCATTGTGGACCACTTGGCATGTGGTGTCTTCATATAGCTGTTGAATGAGGTTGATAAAGACTAGTGGCTCTCTGTAGTGTTGAAGCAGCTGCCTGTCAAATTACTTCTCGGTCGACGCTATCGAAGGCTTTTTCAAATTCGATGAAGTTGAGGTACAGTTCTAGTTAACTGCCATTCTATACTCTGTTCTATGATGATGCGTAGCGCTACAATTGCTCGGCACATGATTTGTTCTTCCTGAATTCAGCCCGTTCCGGTCATAATTTTGAATCCAGCGCATCCTATAGTCTCTTTCAAGCCAGTCCTAACAGCAGTAACTTGTAAAAGACATATTTTCAATTGAAACGGATATTAACGAAAAGTATCAGAAACCTGGAAGAACATAAATAATCCGACTAGGTTTGAAGCCATTTTTTTAGTGGTCTCGTAGAGTTTTCGGATGGTAACCAACATTGGCAAAATCTTTCATCTAATAAGTGTTGACTGATTTATGCCAGTTTGAACAAGAGGTCAGCTAGCTATGTAACAGAGGACTCGAGACAGACATTGGATAGAGTTTTTTTGAAAAGCAGCAATGCATTACTTAATTTATATATTATTGTGAGGTCACGAAATAATCAAAGCTGTCTGTGACAATGTATTTGTGGAATAAATAGCTACCCAGCAATTATTTTACGATAAAAATGATGCTACTTATTTTCTTACAGTAGCATAACAATAATCTAGTAATTCTGTATGATATTTTTAAAACGTCTCAATGTTGCCGCCAAGCTTTTACTTTGGGTATATATAGAAAGTTTTCATTTTAGGTTGAAAACAGTAGCCACAATTTCTAAATATCATAAGCGAACAATTAAATTTAAGTGGAAAATAATAGTGTTCAAGTTCATATATGAGTAAAACTTGGACACCGTGATAGATTGTAATTCCATTTTAGTCTATTGATTAGAAATGTCACAGTGAAACAGTATCATTTTACTGAATAACGTTTCAAACACAATTTATTGTCCATATTCATATCAGGCAACTCAACAACTTTGAGAAAGAGTTTATATAGTTCTAACCCTCTCTTCTTTGTGACAAGGGTAGTAGTACTGTTTCACCGTATAGCATTTCTAATAAACAGATTACAATGGGATTACAATCTACCACAGTGCTCAAGTTTTACTCTTATATTAATAAAACATATGGTCTTTCTTTTTAATATTTGATCAAAAAACTGACATGACTTTCACAGACAAAAGGTAGATACATAAACCACCGTGTATTCAATATACGATGTTTTAGAAATCAAATCATTCCTAAATATCTACATCTGCATACACCAATTCCAACAGACAAAGTCAAAGCAGGTATAGAATTAGTCAGTAAACTTTATCTCAAAGAATAAACTCATAGAAAACTCAAAAAGTTACACAACACCAGGAATTATATCGAATGTGAGCTTATACAAAAAGCCAGTGAATAAGAATATGAGCTTCTCATGGACAGTTGCAATAAAGCAAGATCAGCTGCATTCAAGGAATCCAAAAATCTTCAGATTAAAAAGCTCAACAAACTTATGGAAGAAAAGTTTCCAGTCAACAACAATGAAGTTAATAGATAAGACAACTGCAGATGGTTTAAGAATACAGAATAAAATGAAGTCTAATTTCCCTAAGCCAGAAAGAGACGCCCTTAGGAACCTTCAAAATGATAACAACATAGTAATCGCCGAATCGGATAATGGGAACCCAACAGTTTTAATGAATGAGCATACAGAAACAGGACCATATGAGGAAATTAGGAGACTAGTGGATACTATTAAGAATAAGATTTAGAAATCCATAGGGGATTTGACATACTAAATGAAGCCATTTCTAGATGAGTCAAAATGGTTTAATTTAATGCCAAAAACTAATAATCCCAGAAGAATGTATGGTACTTTTACTATTCATAAGCTAGGTTATCCTATCAGGCATATACTAGGTTTTAGAAACACTCCAACTTATGAGTTGTCTAAATATTTAGCAATGGTGCTAGGCTTAATAGGAAATCCCGACTTGCTAACTCTTATGAATTAAAGCATGGACTAGATGATATACGAGTCGATAACAGTGAAAAAATAGCTAGCTTTGACCTAACTAGCCTGTACACAAATACACCGATCGATATGGCTCTAGAAGCAGTTGGAAATAGGGCCTAAGTTGACAATAAGCTTACGCATCGAACTAAAGTGCGGATGGAAGAAAATCATGCTAGGAGTATGTTTGTGCCTAACGTCTAAAGTTTCCAAGTTTCAAAATGAAATATATCAACGAACTGAAGGGGTTGCCATGGAATCATCAATATCCCCTATCGTCGAAGACATATTTATGGATAGTGAGGAACAGATGGGTCTTCAAGCACATAGTCCTACTCCAAAACTATGGTTGCGATACGTAAATGATAAGTTCAAGGAACTGAAATCAAACACATCAATAGGTTCCTGATACATTTTAAATTTACCTGCAACATACAAAGTGATGAAAGTGACCTACCAATATTCGATTGTAAGATAAAACAAAAATAAGACACTGCTTCAGAGACTAGTGTTCACAGGAAATAAACCCATTCGAATACCTAATCACATTACAAATCACATCACTCCATCACAATTTAAGTTGGCTCACTCAAATCCTCAGGTGATATGGCAAAAATGCTTACTACCACAACAGAAAATCTACAACGAGAAATTAGACACATCAAGAATACTTTGCGTCTCATTAATCACTCAACTAACCTTATCAACAAATTCATAAATAATCGAAAGAAAAATATCAGTAGTAGTAGTAGTAGTAACAATACACGTGTTATTAATAATAATTCTACTGATAATAGTAGTAGTGTAGTAGTAGTGAAAGGGTTGAGAGAGAATTGAAAGCTTCTGCTGACCTACCGTACAACAAAGGCATCTCAGAAGCATTACTACGCATTCTCAATAAGGCTGGCTGGGATTAAAGTGACTACCATTTAAACCAACAAACTCACTGAGAAACAAGATCTCTACCTCAAAGTATCCTATCCATCCAATTCAGCAAAATAATATGACTTACCAAACCCCTTCCAATCATTGTCACGTTAAACACATACACAAAGTCAAAATAGTCGACCACCATCAATTAGGATAAAAGAGTACAGAAACCTAGCTCAATCAGCTTAATCAGTTGATCCTTGTAAAAATTTAGCGAAAACCTCAGCCATAGAGTTAAAAACTAAATTACTTTGATGGAGGGAGGGAGAGATTGATAAACTAATCTTTGTTTATTGAATCAACACCAAATACATGGAGTAATAGGAATGATTCTGCAACTGTTCCGGATACATGGAAGTTCTACTACCCTTATCATCACGAAGAAGGAGATAGGGTTACAAGTGTATAAATTCTGTCTCAGAGTTGTGGCGTTACCTGATATGACTATGGACAATGTGTTGTGTCCGATACATTATCCAATAAATGAAACCGTTTCTTCAGTATGTTATATTTCAGGCTAAATATTGTTCAAGTTCATTGTTTCTTTATAATTTATCAACTTTGCTACATGTTAGGAACCCAAACTTGTAATGAAATACTCTCTTGCAACTTGTATTGCTAAAGCTTAAGATTTCAAATGAAATTGTATGACAGAAAAACAAGCGAAAGAGAGGGAAACATTTACCTGACTAGTGTTGGAATTCCATAGATGTAAATAATTTCCGTTAGGATCAATTTCACAAATTTGTAAACATCCAATAGCGCTTGACCATAAAAAAAAGGCAGACAAAAAAAGTAAAACAAACTGAATCTTATAGTTTGAAAAACAGTTTTCTAGTGTATTAGACTCATACACTGAATAAAATATAAAGCAGAGTTGATCGGGGACCTCAAAGTGTATAGGATGATCAACTGGTAAATGATTTACAGACCGCACAGTTCGTGCTGATATTTTTCATGCAGCTGAGTAGCTTTTTAACTGTCCAACTCTGATATCATTGGAAACCACCCATCTAAGATCACAACTTGCCATTTGTAACACAAAGTGTCATAAACTAACAAAATATATTACTAAAGAGCTTGAGTAATTAGAAACTATTCAGACAAATCTTTATATTTCATCAACGAGATTAGAGTGATATAAACATCGCATGACATTGTTGAGTCAAGGTCACCACCGGTGTACCCGAATAAATTCAGCTTTGTAAACTAAGTTGGTCAGTCCCAAACCGGCTAAATAGTCTTTAGGTGTTCAGATCATTCTGGTATGACTCATGAAATTTCCCAATCGGCTGGAATGATTTTTATCTTCTCAAGTTTTTCAGTAGTAAATCTCAAATTGATTTATGATGTGTATGAATTTTGGCTAGAATAGATTTTGAATTTTGAGGGAGTTGTGGAGATTTGGAAATATTTCAAGTTGTTATTTATCGTAGACTGACACCAGTTGGAGGAACAACGGGAACCTGGGAGCAGTGGACAGCTATTTTGTCCTAGTATGGGACTCCTCAGTAGGGAGCACCCACGATCCCACCAAGGATCGAACCCGCAAACTTCAGGTTCGGTGATCAGCACGTTACCATTGAGCCATTGGGTGATGTAAACTGGAAATTGATGATAAGCTAAGTGAAATTTCAACATAGTGTATATTCACATTTACTTTGTCTCTAGAAGGATGCTGAAATCGACAACATTGATGAATTTAATGCCTGGATTATTTGCAATGTCCAGATGTTTAGTTACTCAAAAACCTTTTTATACAATATACATAATTGAATCAGACTGAAATAAAAACTAACAAGCCATATCTGTTCATTTGAAGTTAAGTAGAATTATTATTCTTTTAAAATATTATATATTATATATTATATAATATATATATATACATATATATATAATATATAATATATATATTATATATTATAATATGTATCAGTCTCTAATTGTTTTCAGAAAGATTTTCGATGAACAACTTGTCATATGTAATTCTATTTTAGTCTGTTGATTAGAAATATCACACAATGAAACAGTAACATTTACTGGATAACATTTCGGACACAATTTACTGTTCATATTCATATCAGGTGATTCCACAACTTCGAGACAGGTTAAAGTAGGCCTAGATAAATGCTTAAGTGATAGAGCGAAAAAGCTTACTAATAGATCGGAAAATCTGCGATAATAAATTAAACACATCAAGAACACCCTACGTTTCAATAACTACCCACTAAAAATTTATAAATAAATTCATAAGAAATCGAATTTTTGAGGGAGTTGTGAAGATTTGGGAAGAAAATCGAAAGAAAAATATTAGCAATAGTAGTAGTAGTAGTAGTAATACAGGTGTTGTTAACAATAATCCCACTACTAATGGTAATAATAGCGACAGAGTTGAAAGAGAACTCAAAGCCTCTGCTGTGTTACCATGCAAGGAAGGCACCTCAGAAGCATTAAGAAGAATTCTCAATAAGGCTGGGATTAAAATGAGGTTTAAACAAACAAACTCACTTAGAAACAAGCTTTGTAGGTCAAAAGATCCTATTGAGCCAATTAAGCAAATAATCCGGTTTACCAGATCCCTTGCAATGATTGCAAAGTCAAGTACATAGGTCAAAGCAGTCGACTAGGGTTGATTAGAATACGAGAGCACAAAAACTTAGCTAAATCAAGTTTAGTAGATCCTGATCAGACAAGAAATCTAGAGAAAAACTCGCCTATAGCTCAGCATACGATGACACACAATCACACAGTAGGGTGGGATAGGGCGACAGCGTTGGAAACTAACTTAGTTGGATGCAGGGAGGGAGATATCGATAACCAACTGGATCTTTGTATATTGAATCAACACCGAATATATGCAGTAATGGAAATGATTCTGGACCTGTCCCAGATATATGGAAAATTCTACTACCCTTGTCATCACAGAGAAGGAGAGAAAACTAGGAATATATAAAGATTGTCTCGAAGTTGTGGAGTTACTTACCTGATATGAATATGGACAATAAATCGTGTCCGAAACGTTATCCAGTAAATGCTACTGTTTCACTGTGTGATATTTCTAATAAACAGACTAAAATGGAATTAAACCAATCATGTAGATTTGTCGGTTGATGTGATAAATATTTCATATAACGATGGAGATAATAATACAAATAATAATAATGATAAAGTGATAACGTTTACTAAAGCACATGCAGTATAGATGATCATAATGATGATAAGAACCAAGAAAGCAGCATGAAAATGTAGACACTGAGATTATCAAAATGGGTCAAAAACTTGTGAAAACAAAAGTTACGTAATAGTGAAAGGCGAGGTATGAGGATAAATAAAACCTAGATTAATACAGTAGGTATACTAAAGGAGTGAAGAATAAGAAAAGGGGTAGGAAAAATAATAATAATAGTAATAACTGAAAGATAAAGTTATTAACTAAGTAATCCCTGGCCAAGGGATGTACAAACTTCTGAATACAAAGCCTAGGATTATTAACTCGAATTTCCACAGCTTCTGCTTTATGTAAAATACGAGTTTGAATACCTTTTGAAAGATGAGATGGTATGCGGTGTATAATCGTGAAAGTAATGTTCTTGTCTACCGACTGACCATTATCAACAAGGTGAGATAAAACTGAGCTTCTGATGGTTCTTATCATTATTATCATCATCTATATTGCATGTGGTTTAGTCAACGTTATCACTTTTATCAATTTCATTATTATAATTAATATTTGTATGACTTCAAGTTGTTATTCATCGTAGACTGACATCAGTTGGAGGAACAACGGGAATCTGGGGGCACTGGACAGTTATTTCGTCCTAGTATGGGACTCCTCAGTAGGGCGCACCCACGACCCCGCCGGGGATCGAACCCGCGACCTTCAGGTTTCCCGGCCTGTCATGACTTTTTATCGGTCGTGGGTGCGAACTGCTGAGGAGTCCCATACTAGGACGAAATAGCTATCCAGTGCTCCCAGGTTCCCGTTGTTCCTCCAACTGATGTCAGTCTACGATAAATAACAACTTGAAATATTTCCAAATCTCCACAACTCCCTCGAAATTCAATTTGTATTATTATCTCCATCGTTATATTAAACATTTATCACACCACCCGACAAAGCTACATCATTGGTTTATATTTATATAAAGCTATTTATATTGGAGTAAAGCTTGAAGATCTGATTGAAAACAATATTGTTCGCCTATATGTCGTGTTCTGATAGTGATTTCATTGCATAACTAACACACTAGACTGATAACACTTCCACCATTCTATTCGGTTTGATCTCCATTCACCCATCACAACACTTATTGTCTCAATATCGTAAAATTGTCCATGGTGCCTTGTGTCGGCTATTGTGTTTCACTTATTCTCATAGATTTATAATTGTAGAGCCTGAAGAAGAAGTTATTGAAAACTATATTGTTCGCTTAAATAAATTGTACTTTGAAATGTATGACATTCTAATCTGAATAAAAAAGTCGGTTTTATCGTGATTTACGAAACGCATATACGAAAGCACCTTTTTCCAGTTAGATTTTAAAACATTAAATTTGTTTTGTATGCTCAATAGCATGATGGCATGAAATTAAAATCATGACATAAACTGAATTAATGATATATCGTGGCTAGCAGTAGAATCCAGGATGCGCCAATAGACACCGATTAATTCCGTCCAATCAACGACGGTATGATATAGAAAATAATAAAAATGGTTATAATAAGCTGAATTATTTAAATATTATCTTCAATAGAAAATGATGAAATCGTCTTGAATACTAAGACAGGACTGTACAATATATTCATTGTCTCAGTGCTTGCAAATAGAGTGCGAACCTGAGCTCGCCTTTGAGATAATTGGTTGTACCTTTGAACTTTCCAAGCAAGACAAGCTCAGTAGATCTGTAGGGAAGCTTCGAAGTTATGATAACAGGCACATGTGACTACCATGAAATGATACTCAGTTTTTGCAGACATAATTTGTTGTTGCTTGTATTATCCCAACGTTGAGTGGACCGAAATGATCGGACTGTATTCATATATGGGCTACTACGTGAGTGCCTCGATATTGCTTGTGTTCGAATTATGTAATAATGATGGGAAACGGTTAGTGAATAACGCTCTTGCGTTCGCAGCGATCGGTTCCCAGTTCGAGTCCTAGAAGGAACAATATTGCTCACCGTGAGGCAGGTACACCTACCTGACGAGTCCTAAATAGGATAAAACAGGCATCGTGGACTTCACTCCTAGCCATAATCTATCATTAATATATAATTTGCGAATTAATTAAAAAGCGGCCACGTCGGGCAAGAGTTACCGCGTTTATAAGCATTATTCAACCAAAGACTGTATTACGTAAGGAATCGGGATAGTTCTAATTTTCTGACTTAAAATTAACATGTGAATCATCCGGAGGATGACTTTGCAGGCTCTCAAAAGCAGTCCTTGAAGTGGACTGAAAAAAATTACTGAACTACTCATAGATAACTTAGTAGTATATGGAGTGTTGTCGAGACAGAAACCTAAGTATCTTTGATTTCTATAAGTCTGAAGACAAATTGTTCAGTTATCTGAATGACAAGTTGAAACTCTAGACTTAAACAGTGACACTCATTTTTGTGTTTCAAGGCGAGATGGGCTTATATTTGACAATCGAATTCGATGTCCACCGATGATAAAACAAGACAACAGAGGTCTATTTTATGGTGAAATACGATTGTATAAAAGCTTTGAAGACATATCTCATGAATGTTGAAGTAAAATA